TGCTGGGAGCTAAATGACTTTTTTTATGCATGGACTGCAAATATAATTATTTTTCAGGCTTTGAAATGTTGATTTCCCCCCACACCCCCTCTCCCTGCTTTTTCACTGGCTGCATGCAACAGACTTTCTGTCTGTCCATCCAGGCACTCAGTCTTCCTTGGAGCAAACAAAAGTGAACTTTTGAAATGAATGCTTAAGTAGGTTTTCAGTCTATAAGTCTGTGTCCATCATGAAACTTGAAGTATAACAGAAAAATATGCTCAGTATTGCATGATACCATGCAAGAAAGTTGTAAAGGAACAATAAATAAGCTGATGCTTTTTAGAAACCTGAACCTCTAGTCCAACCATTGGAAGGAGATCCCGTGAAAAATGCGTAGAGGCAAGAATATGACAATGGTACACTCAATCTGAAGGCTGCTTAGCATAACTTATCTGGCACATCCAGAGTTGTGTGGCTAAGATTTTTTTTAATTAAAGAACTCATGTGTACTTAAAGTGATACACATCATAAAAATAACCAAATAGAAACGAGCCGTTAGCTATAATGCTAGTTTCTCCTTGGTAGTGGAAATTACCTTACTGGAAGTCTGAAGTGGGTCGTTATTTGGAGAGGAGCTAACAGTGCAAATGCTAGCAGGTTATTATGATACTGTAGCTTTGTTTTATGTTCCTGACAAAATTTCATAGCATAGTATCCAAAAGAAAAACCCATGGAAAATAAATTATGAAATTCGGTGCAAGCAAACTTTCTGTTTGGAAAGAAAAAAAAATATTCTTGTGTTTTCAGAGTATGCGTGGAAACCCTGTTACCTGATGGAGTACTGTTTTGCATTGACTGGCTTGCACATAAGTACGACGCTGCAATGGATGATGTGTTACGTGATGAAAAATTGGTCATGCATGTACAGAGCATTTCCCACTGGGCACCTGCTAGCATAGGACCTTACAGTCAGTCCATCAAGGTAGGGAATCTTTGTTACTTCATGTGAACTATATGTCTATTTACTGAAATGAATACAGTTATAAAGTCTCTTTCTCTCCCATTTGAATGTGCAAAAGAAAATGTATTTAAAAAAAAAAGAAAAATGAGCATTTTGATTTTTTAAAACTTATGGACAAAGTAAAAACTTAGCACACATCAGTCTTTCCTTTCACCTTTCATGAGACATGTTAAATTATTATTTCCAGAAAATCTCAAGAACAGTCTGCTTTTGTTATATATTGTAAATATACCAAATATTTGTGTCGCACATACACTGTATAATCTGCCTAGAATATAAACAGAATTTAGGAAAATACAAGGATATTTGCAATTTGCTTGTTTAAAGCAAGCAAGTTCAAACTTTTTTATAAAAGTCAATCCTAAAATGCCTATTTAATAAAATCCCTTTTGAGGTTCCCAGTAGTGCTTAACCTTTTAAAATTGCAGCAAGGTTGAAGAAATGTCCTTTTTTTTCAAATTAATAACACACTGAATAGGATTTTACGTACTATTTAAAAGTATGAACAGGATGCAGTAAGGAATCATGGAAAAGTGGACCAAAATTTTAATAAAAAGCTTTTTTCCTAATATGGTACCTCTCGCCCAGCTAGTACCGTTCTGACAATTGATGAAGTGTCTCACCTTTTCTATTGCAAAAAAATGTATATATTCCTTTCTTACCTCTTGTGTAATACATTGTCCAGTGAAAATTATTGTGTTGGACAAACTGATTGAAGCAACATATTTTGCCATCTGTTTAAATTTCCTGAAACTTCTTTGAGTCTGAAAACCCACCTAGTATAACGGCCATGGAATTGTACTTTGTTTTATCTTTGTACCATTTTGTGGAAAATTTCAGGAATGGTATTTTGCTTCAGAAGCCCATGTAGAATTTGTTTCATTTGCAGGAGGAAATGTTGGTAGATAAGTATTGTATTAATCTTGTGGTTAAAGTGGGTGGTTTGTCACCCGTGTTTTTGTCATCTGTGTTTTTCTTGAGAAAGCAGAAAGAAAGTTGGTTTATTAAACTTTTTTCCATTCAGTCTTACACATTGACAGTCACAATTATATCACATTATGCATAGTCCTGCAAAGATAAAATTTAAAAACTTTGCACCTTTGTGTTTGGAGAAACTTCTCTGATAGATCATTGCAACTAATCTCTATTACTGTCCTGGAGCTCGCATAGACTAAATTTGGAAAAAAGTGTGAACTGAAAATTGCTTTAGTAACACAATGTTGCAAAAGGACATAAGCAGACACTGCCAGTCTCTTGGATCTCCTCGTGGGATGGGACAGTCAGCCTAGCTAAGGAAGGACTTGTTTCTTTTCAAATACAGTGTAACCAGTAGCATTGGTCAACGATTAAACCATATAAGGAAAATTTTCCACTTATTGTTTTGTTTCTTTGTTTTCCCCAAGGGAATGTTTTAGTCCAGCAACATTGTTTTCCCTTATGGTAGAAAAAAAGTATTTTTACTTTAAAATCCAGTGACCACAGGAGTAAAGAAACAGTGATCAAAAGCTGCGTTTCTGCTACAGGATCACTCATCTGCTATCCCTTATGGCTAAGTTCTGTCTCTAGTCCACAAACACCTGTATGGCGAAATGGTAATGTACATACCAGCAGTGGTTTTCATTTTCCTTTGCCAGATTTTGCCTTACTACTACCATCACCATGTTTCATCTGAATATCAATATTTAATGTTATCCTGGTTTTATCTTGCTAAGAATCTTTGACTTTTTGGTAATCTTTCTGCAGAGCTTGATCCAGTAAGCATGAAAAGAATTATTCTTTTTTTTTTTATTTCAGTAAATGTGTTTTGTATAAAAATATTTTTTTATTTCTAAAATTGCATATAAAAGAAATGACCTATGAAACATATAAGAATGCATCAGAGGAATACGTAAGTGCATAAACAACATTGAAAATTTATTAATGGTATGTATGGATCTTCTTAAATGTGAGTTTTCTGAAAATTAAAAGCTGCTTAAGTGGGTTTTCAGAACTTCCTTGGATATGTATGGGCAGGTATTAAGCTCTTCAGGTCACCAGCAGAAGTAAAGCCCTTCAGTATGTTTTATGAATACAGTATATTTTCCAGAATAAATAAGGAAGGAACAAAGGTGGGGTTTTTTATCTTTATAGTCAGCAAAAATTATTTTAAATTTAGTAATTTTATGATGATGAAATGTTGATCAGTTTTGTTATGTTTGCGGACAGAAGCTTAGTGATCTTAAAACAGTAAGTGGCTATTACCCTTGTGTTGTGTATCTGTAGATTTTCTTTGTCATTTGCTTGACAACAGTTGAACAATTAAACTGTTGTCACCTCGGTCCAATAGGAAGTTTTGTGGACACTGAGCAGTCACGTATTTTAGCACAGTGTTTTGGCTCAGTTCAGAATAGGCCAAGGTCTGTAATATTCAGGCTACTGCAAGTTGGAATTGATATGCACTGGCGTGTAAGAGTGGAGGTGGCAACGGAAAGGTGTTGGTAGTTCATGCAAACTATGGAATTCACACTTCTGGCTCAACAAATCACTCAGCAGAGCATCAGTTTAATTCTGTAGAGACCTTGCAGGATCCTGCCAACAGTGTTATGAGGACAAAAAGTTAAAATTTAAAGAATGTCCTGACCTCAGTCTGGACACCAGAAAGCAGTGGCAGAATGAAATTAGGATTTTCAAAGTATTTATGGCAATATGAAACATTCTTCCTCTTTTGAGGTTAACATTCTTTTAAAACAACTTCAGTGTTTCTGTTTGTGAGTAGACATAAACTGTTGCAAGATGTAATGCGACTGACTTGTAATTAAGAAAAACCTGAGATCATTTAGTATATTTGTCTTGGTCCACCCGTCTTATTGATGCAGAAACCTCTGCCACTCTTAATCTCTGTGTCAGCAACTGGAATGTAAGCTATGTCAGGGTTACTGTAAAGGCTATACTGCTGTTCTCAGTAATGCCTATCAAGTGTTCTGATTATGTCCTTCTAATGGTAGCACCACAGACTGTCTAGGCAGTTCAGTCTGGGAATATGTGATGACATGTGGTTTGCCTTCCTCCCGATCTTATTCTGCAGTAGGCACCAGCCCAGTTTGTGCTGGTCATTGGTAGTAGCTCGTATTTTTACTAAATGTATTTCATGGTTTTACTTGTCATTGTTTATCAGATTATAATTTAATTTTCTTTTTTTTTTTTATTTTGTTAGTGTATTAGAGGATTTGTCAAGACTAAGCAGTAATTGGTAGCTTGTATAGAAACAGCTTACCATCTTCACAAAAACTAACAGCACCGTTGTACATCAGGGAGTTAAACATGAAGATATACTGCAAAGCAGTGTTGGAGGGTGAAATTTTTATTGAGAGCTTATTCATGATTATTTATTTTGTGAGAACATTCTTTGAGCATTTATGAACTGTGAGCATAGTTCATTAAAAAAATAATAATTAAAAAAAAGCCCAGTGCAGCTGAAACATTAACCACAAGTACTTGTCTAAGAATGCATGGAAAGTTGACAGTGTTTGTACCAGATGTTCTTCTAGTATGTTAATGTAATTTAAAAGTCTATTTACACTTATGGTTTGTTTGCTTTGACGAAGTTTCTTAATGTTTTTCTATCTGTAAATGAACAAATAAATTGCCACAATAGAATTTATTGTACTGTCATATTCTACAATATTTTTGATGGTGACATAAGGTATTTTATACACATATCACATATATATGCATCTGTGACTTGATTTTGTCTGTCAAAGCTTTTAACTTTTCCTTGTGACCTCAGTTCTTTCCCTCTGACAGCTGCTAAATCCCAGGTTCAGCCATCCTTCGGGCATCTTTTTCTCAGTTTTCTCCTCCGCACTGTCTGAACCCAGTAGCACAAACATAAAAAACAAGAGAGTGTCCTTACTCTCTGATTCCTGTGTCCATATCCCTGCGACTTGATGAAAGTTGGGTTCTTTTTTTTTGCTGTGTTTACTCGCCTTACAATTAATTATTTTTGCTTTCATTTTTCTGATTGTTAAGGCATGATAAATTAGCAGGCAAGTGCTGTGGGAACAACAGTGGGAACAGAGAGTCTTGCATCTGGTTTAAGGCAGTGATACTTGTAGTGGTTCCAATATTTACTTGCTAAGAAGGCTTAGTTCCCTCTCTTGCAATGAAACTGAAAATGGTCTGACAGAGCTTAGAGCACGATTTGTAGCAGATGACTTTAAAAGGATAAGGTGGTGTTGGAAATAGCCCTGTCTGTTACGTACACCAGGAAAGATTACCTGGCTGCTTAAACTATCTGACTGGTTGCAGTTTTCCAAAAGCACGCTTAGATGTTTTTAAACAAAATCCATATTTTAAGGAATCCATGCATTTGCGTATGCATGAATTATCCTAGTAAGAACAGTAACTGAAGAAGGATGAAGATAGAAAGATTTCAGAAAATTACTAATAGTGAATCAGGGATTGAAAAAAATATGGTATGATTCTTAATGATATAATTAACCCTTTAAAATACTTTTTTCACATACATATAGCTGATAAATTGTTTGTTTGCTTCCTCTCTGCCTTATCCTTTTGTGATTCAACAACAGTATGTTACACCATGTGTACTACTATGGGGTAGAATACCTGGAGTTCCCAGTGTGTGTTAAAAAAAAAAAAAAAAAAGTGGAAGACAATAGTTCAAAGTCTATATAGTGTTCCTCTGGGATTGATACTTGGGATAATATTGTTAGCATCTTAATGAACAGCTTGGACAATGGGATTGAATACATGCCTAGCAAGATTGTGGATGACAGTAATTTGGATAGTGGTTGCCCCATTGGAGGGCAGAGCTGCCATTCAGAGATACATAGATAAGCAACTGATAACAGGAGCCTCATGAAATTGAACAGCAATGAAGGAAAAGTCCTGAAGCTAGGACAGAATAGTCCCATGCAGCAGTATAGGATGGGGACTGACTGTCTATCTAGGTAGTAGATCTG